GTAGGTGGTCAGACAATGTGCTAAAAAAGTGTCTTTCTGGATTGAAAGAACCACATAGTGGGCAGAATAGCCTGGAGCCTTTCTGTTTGGCAAAGGGTGCCCAGGAACAGGGCATCAAAGCAAAGAGACACCAGGCTGTCTTGATTGTCTCCACAGTCATTTCTGGCATATTTGGTCACAGATAACAATCAAAGCCATGTGGCCCTTGATTTTCTCATCTGCAGATTGGGACAGGGGCATTTACCAGCTGTCTGTGTCAATGGAAAATTGTGGCTAGAGGCCATCTGTCTAGTGCCAGAAGCCATTCAAGAACAGCCATAAAGAGAGTTGAGCACTCTCCAGCTTGCCCCAGAGGGCAGACTTGTACACAATAGAGCCCGTCTTCTGAACACTGGCAATAGTCCAGACCATGTGGCCGATTCAATCACCATTTGGTTAGGGGTATGTGATTTCCCTTCCGTAATGCCTGGCTGTAATGTCCAATTATTTGAGGTGTGACTATACAGGAAATCTCAACCACTAAATCCATTTTTAGATAAGGACCCGCCATGCAGCTGTCGGCCATATTTGTAGATGATGGCTGGGAACCTGAGGAGATGAGATATGGTCTGGATCTAGCTGCTGTTTTGATAAGGGCAGCAGGACCCGTTCTTCTCTTGGAGAAGTAGAAACTGGCAAAGCTTGAAGGGCTCCCTGCTATGCATGGATTTGGGGAAAAAAATGTCAAAGGAAATTCATTGAAATAGTCTCTTGATTGGAATCTGGTGATACAGTTAGTGTGGATGGGAGATTCTACTACTGTACTTATTTGTTGTTATGGTTACTTTGTTTCCATTTGAAAGAAGAAGAAACCCCTACTAGGAGATCTTTAACAACTGGCCCAGTTCTAACTCTACAAAGTATTTCACTATCCACCACAGCCTTCCTCATTGGAAAACTACACCACAGAGTGAAATAACATTCACTTTCTGGAGACGTGAGCTTAGCCCTCTTAGCATAAAAGGGAATGCAGGCAATTTCTCAGAGACAGCAATGGGGTTTAATATTTTGTTTGTGGATTTACTAATTTTGTCTTGGAGTCCATTATGCTAGCTGGGACTTAGGTAATTTCATATATTTGAAAATGTGATATCGTAATACTTCTCTCAAATAAGCAGTGGTTCTTAACTATAGAGTCTCACAAATTGTACTGACTATCTCCCAAGAAAAACATACATATAATATTTTACGTGAGAGATATATGGACACTCTTTAAAATTACCCTGGCCTACCTACCTCTGTACCCACCTTCAAAAAACCTTTCTCCATAAATATGATTCTTGACAAATTTCCAGCCCCATACAATTTTCACAGTCTAGGGATTATTAAACCTGTAGGCTATCAGTTTTTGTAATCTCTAGCTCGCTAATATTTACATTGGTAGCAAATCTTATATTAAAAAGTCATTTGGATTTTTGTCTATCCAGCACTAATTTCCTACTTAGATGGTATTAATAATTTCCATTCTGCTAATTGTTATATTTCTAAGGTGTGACTATATGGTATAGTTTATATATTTTGGTTCAATATTTGTTTCTGAAAATTGTAGATAAAATGTTTGGAAATAAATATTAAACAATAGAACAAAATTTTATTGAAAAGAATATGTATTTTCCCATTATGTATAATTATTCTAGATTTTGTTATATCTTTTATTAAATTAAAAATGTTTCCCTCTAGTTTATTTTTCTAAGGATTATTTTTAAAATTATAAAGATATTAGACTTTATAAAATTTACTTTATATATTAAAATAATGTATGATATTTCTCTTATGATTTATCAGTATGGTGATTTACATTGATAAGCCTTCTAAGAGGAAACTGTTCTTGAATTTCTGAGGTAAAGTCTACATATTGTGATATATGACCCTCATTCAATCATGGTTTATTATTAGTTAATACACTATAGTATCATACAAAATACCATGTAGGATTTTTGAATCTATGTTTAGAAGTTAGATGTTGTATAGTTTTCTGAAACTGAAATCATTTAGTTTCAGAATCTGGTTTATATTAGTTTTTGATTGAAAACTTCCTGTCAGCCATTTTTGGTTGTAACTATGGCATTATATTGTTAGATCTTCTAAAATATTGAAGTTAATTTAGAAATTTCTTTTAATTAGTAAACTTAATATTTTCATATTCATTATAGTTTTTGTATTATTAGAACTTACCATCTTCTGTTTCCTGTTTTCTATGTTTTAAAAATATCCTTTTCCTATTTTCTATAGAGATGTCCAAAATTATATAGCTTAAAGAGAAATCATTCTATTTCTGTATTTCTGTGGGGACCCCCTTACTTTAAGGTTGTGCTGAGGTCTCTGTTAAAGTTGTCTGTCCTCTTCCAGTTGAGCATTCCTCATATATAAAAATCTCCAATCCAAAATGTCCACAGATCGCAAACTTTTTGAATGTTGATGCCATCACAACTGAAAAGTGTCATACCTGAAATCATGTGACAGATTAGTACACTACAAATATTACCTCAGGGCATGTGTAAGACGTAGCTGTGCATGGATGAATTTGGATCTCATACCAAGGTAGATTGTCATATATGCCAGTGTCCTAAAATCTGAGAAGCATCTGAAATTTGAAATGCTTCTGGCCCCACACATCTCAGATAAAGCAGGCTGGGCCTTGTGTACCTTTTGTACAGTAGTAGCGACAGCACAATTAAGTGGCCTTTTGAGTTCCTCTAGGACCACAGAAAACAGAATTAGATACAAAATATAATTAATGCAATTTTTTCTTTGAAATTGTGCAAGCCTGCTGCTGTTTTGTTCTGGAGGAATTTCCTTTCCCGGTTTTAAGAACGTTTCCGTAATAAACTCGATGCAGGGAGTGGTGGCCTTTTGTTCTAGCATTTCTTGCAGCATCCTCCCAAGTAGTGCTTTTCATTTAACTACTTCCTCCAGGAGCAATTTTAACGTGGGCTTTTGTAGGCCCCAAGATATTTTTTGTTGTGCTACAGTGTTTGAATGACAGCTCGGCTTGCTTTAAAGAGACAGGTTCAGTGTTCAGTGTTCACTTTAATATTTTACAAACGTTTCCTCTTTGTCTGAGTCTGTCCTTTCACTGTGAGGAAGTACACAGCCGAAGCAAGCGGTTATTCATATTGCATTGCAGAGCTCATTATGCAGGGCCTGTACAGAGACAAATAAGAAAAAATTCCTAATGTCATGGCTTGGAATACGACAACCAAGATACGAGCAACAACTTAGGAAACGCCAGCCTGCTCCCTCCTTAGGAGTCCGAGGCTCCTAGAGAACCAGTTCGTTTTACAAACACGGAAACCCAGACAAGAACAGTTACGTGGCGTTTTAAAGGGATCCAGAGCATTGAGCGAACTCCCATCTCCTGGAGCCAAGCCAGGCCTGATGGGTGGGAAGTTCTCAGCAAGGCCCAAGGCCCCGTGACACCAGGTTGTGGTACACAGTCCCTACAGCAGGCCTTTTCATCACGCTCAGCTCAGAGGGGATCAAGTGCGGGGCTGGTAATCTGCGCGGGGGCGAGTCTTCTCTGGTGACCCTGGACCCGACCACCCGTTAGAGATGTAGCTTATAATTTCGCTAGGTGAAGTGTTAATGGGAGTTAGCCTGCTCTTGGTTTCATGTGAGGCAAAGAGAGAAGCCCTTCTCGCGGTGGGGCCAACAGAGTCAGGCAGCACTTTGCCGTCACGTAAACAACACAGAAAGGGGGAACTGATCATTTCTAGGCCAGGAGGTCCGGTGAGTCACAGAATTCTTTCCCTTGCCATGGGGACGTTTCAGTGGGATCATGATGAAAGAACGGGCGCTCTTCAGATGGGGAAGAGAGAGCGAGCCGGGAGGTGAGGCCAGCAAATGAGCATGTGTCTGGGGAGAGGCAGGCTCCCCGTGAAAGGCTTTAGTGTCTCGGCTCTGTGGCTAAAGGGAGAAGGAAGGCTCTTTCTCCGGGCACTGGAGCTTGAACCCCAGGCTTATACATGCAAATGCTCTGTCCTTTAGGCGAAGGCTTTAAAGGTGGAGACTGTCAGGATCAGACCCAGAATGTACTAGATCATTCTGGGGCACCATGGAAGGCAAAACAGCAAGGTTCCTGGGCTACCCCAGGCGTCATAACCGTGTGCTCTCGACCCCAGAGTAATTGCGTCACTGGATGGAGCATGTGTGAGCATGTGGGTTTCAGATACACACTGGCAGAATGTAGCCTTTCTGTATGCACTGCAGATGGTGATTCCGTTACTCTTTCCTTGAGAAGCTTTCTATTAGTCAGGCTGGGGTCCCGGGAGAGAAGCCTGGTGCTCCTAAACCCACAAGCCACCTTTGAGAAATCGGCTCTAGCTTCGTGTAAGAGCCTGAGTGTCTCCTTTTCTTCTTTGAGCGAATTGGCCCCCTTCTCTGTGGACGTATCAACTATCTGAACCAATGACCTCCCGCCCCCCATATTTAAACAATATTATGCCTTGCCACTTTGCTGTGGACTGGGGCAAAGGGAGGAGCCGTTAAATTTCGAAGTGGAATAAACAGAAAAAGCAACACTAAAAGAATGAGGAGGCTGTTTAGTGAGGCTTGAAGGGAGGGCAGGTGTTTCCTCCCATGTTGAGAATAGTGACCCCTGGGAATCACATTTCCCGTTGAGCGGGCCCGTGGTGAGGCGAGTCCTGTAAATGACCTGATAGTGCGGAGCAGTACGTGAATGCCAGAGAAAGCTCAGTGCCATCCAGATTGCTTTTCGGACCCCTCATCGCACAGGAGTGTCGATCCTTGACTTCATCACCCACCCTTTGTGTTCATACAGACTCTCATGCTCACGTGCAGCACAACACCCTGTGGCTGTGTGCAAATGACCGTGGCCGTGCTGTGTGGCGGTTAGTCCCAGTTGGCTGGCTCTGTGTATAAAGCCCTCCTCAGCCTGTGGGGGGAGCGGGGTCTCTGGGGTGCACACAGTGGGGTGACAGGCGGCGTTGCTGAAGAAAAAGTACAGCCCTGCCCGAGGTGGGAGGATGTGATGACGTGGGCCCACTCAGCGGGAACTCGGGCCTTTAAAAAGCTGAAGAAACAGCCTCCGAGTAAACGGTGGTTCCACGGGAGGAAAGCACGCCCTGTCACATTAAAGAAGCCAAACTGTCTGCTTCAAAGAGAAGAGGCAACATCCTGTCACAGGCCATGCTCTGGCAAAAAGGTAAGTGGTTTGGTGGTGGCTGTCAGAGCCAAGAAAGCAGAGGCAGGGACCAGGGACAGAGAGCTACTGGTGGCGATGGGAGCATAGAGTCTAGGTTCAGGGCGTAGGGGGCATGGAGGGCTGAGGTGGGCGAGATGGAGCTTGATGGCAAAACCAGCCTGTCAGAGGTGATGCTCATTTTCCAGCCTGGGGGAGCGAACTAGTGCCCCAAGGTGGGACAGCTCATTGTATCTCCGGTTCTGTGCATGAATCACCGAGGTAAGGGAAGGGTAGTTTATGATTCATGAGATGGAAACCGCATATGCTATGGGTTGGGAGCCCTTCTTCACGTGAGGGCCTTCACTTCATAGACACCTGCTCTTCAGCTTGTTACTTAGTTCTACGGGCCCCAAAGGTGGTTCCCTCCTGCGGATGTTTTGGGATGGGGTGGGAACTCAGTTGTGTAAAGCGTGCCTTCTCTCTGGAGCCCCTGTTCACTCTCTTATTCTGTGGCTTGGCTGGTTTTGTGTTCCACTGCAACGGGCCTGTGGGTTTATCTTTGACCTTGATTTTGATCCCTGGAGTTGAATGGAACAACTGTGAACTGTATTTTCCATTCTGTGGATTGAAAAGAATCTTGTGCTATCGACAGTGGAAGCTGTGCAGACATTATCTACAACATTCCTTTCCTGAGGTAAATAAAGTCAACTCAAGAGGCTCACCAAAGCTGAACCTTATTGAGGCTCAGTTCTGTACTTCCTCAGTAAAGAGCTAGTATCAAAAAAATTTCCCTATCTTGCTTTGTAAGATGATTAATCCCTTAAAATGTCTTTCATTAGTTTAGGCATGCCATTCCTCAATCAGACTTATATGATAATCCAGATTAAAAGACAAAGAAATCATGAAGGGCTTTACTTATAAAAAAGAATCTGAAAAATACTGCTTCGCTGATTACAGGGTGACATGGGCATGTTATCACCAACTCACTGTTTCTTTGTTTCTCAATTCGAAGTTCTCCAGAATCGATTTTTATTTTTTCCTATGTGACTCAGAGGAGCAATTTAAACATTTCTCAGTTTACTAAGCCCCATCATTGATATCAGCAATATATATATATATTTAATAAAAAGAAGTAAACTTTAATTTGGATTTGAGACTTACAGCCACATAGTCTAATTTAGGCAGCACGGGACTCGTATGAGAAGATGTCCAGGGCAAAACATGATTCTTCTGGAAGCAGTGGCAGCCAACACCACTGGAGATGCTACAAAGATGTGGGCACATGGGTTTTAATGTCCCTTGAGGCCTTCAAAGTGCCAATATGCTGTCTTTCTTGGAGTGAAATCATTTGGGTTTTGGGTGAGCCACTTTTATTTTGTAAGCTCTTAGAGTTTGCATATTTTAAATGGGGTTAAAAATAATCCCGCTGTGTATAGCTGCTCTTTATAAGCCGGTGGTGCCACCAGAATGATGCCAATTGCTCTGACTTGGCATTACTAGCCCCTGAGGTATGGGCTGCTTGCCCACACAAAGAAGCTGCCATAGTCTTCTATTGTTAAACACTGCATTTGTCTTCTCCTGCTTAAGAGGCCAACAGATTATTACTTTTTGAGAGTTGTTGGAGGGCTTGCTTCTTGCTCATACCTCTGGGGTCAGCCAGGTAGACACGAATGTACTAGAATAGTAACCACTTTCTCAGTTCACCCGATAGCATAACTGAAGTGTGTGCAGATAAGCAAAAGTCAAAATGTCCTTAAACTGTCCTTGGAAGGACTTGAAGGAAAGGAGGAAAGGCTTTGTGCACCAGATTTATCTTTTCCCCATGATCCGTGGTCAACAGAGTGACTAAGACTTGTGGGAAAACCAGTAAAATCAAGGCAGTGCTAGCAGCTACTAACAGTCTTAGGCAGGGAGGGTCTGAAATAAGGTCTGAAATCAGACACTAGGAGTGCTGAAAAGGCACTTTCTTTTTTTCAGAAAACACCCTTCAGGCAAGAACTGAAATGACTGTACCCAGGGTGCTGGAGAGAGTTAAGAAAACAATTGTTTTGTGCATGTCGCCTCCTCCCTGCTTGGCTCGTGACTGCTGTTAGTGGACTCACAGTGAACACAGGCTTTGCTTAAGATGGGACAACAGTGCGACAAAGCTCAGAACTGTTGCCATTGAGATGAGGCAGCCTGGAGGTCCCAGCGCTGGGTGTGAGGTCCTCTCCACTGTCAGCTGGACAAAGAAGTTGGTCCGTGTGCAAGCTTTCCCTGTAGGTTCTGCATTAGTCATCCCCGTTAGTTGTTTGGTCATCTCATGTAATGAGAATGAACATGCACTGGACTGAGACAGGGCTCAGCCTCCTGGTGGTTGGCTCTGCACCTAAGTAACCTCACCCCCTCTCCCTCTTGAAATGGAAATTTGAATGCCTGCCTCACTAAGTCTTTGTGAGAATTAAAGTAAAAAATATTGCCTGTACATAATGGGGACATCAGATTGGGTTTTATGTTAACCATTGGTTATAGTACATTATATTTTGTATGCAAGAAGTTTCCAAAAAGTCTTCTCTCCCTCTGCTAAATTAAAAAACAGGTTAATGTACAAAGTAGCTTAGTGTTTCCTCATGGTATCCTCATACATGTGTGTCACTATACTTTGTTCTCATTTGCTCCCACCCACATGCCCCTTCCTTTGCTAAACTGATGTTGACACAATTCTTACAATGATTGTCATTAAAACCTTAAGATAGGGAAAATACTCCACTATAAAATGTAACTGTAACAATTAAATTTCACATGAGTTAACATGCCAGCTGTCTGACAACTGTTAAAACCGTAAGTTTGTTTAAAGTGAGGAAAAGAATCAAGAAAATGGCCTAAGATCACTTCATGCTGTCATAGCACACACTCAGTCTTTGTTTTAGAGGCTGACTTCAGCAAGGCACTGGCTGGCTTGAACGTGAAACACTAACTTCTAAGGCAAATTGAGTCACACATTTTCAAATGCAATTGACCAATATTACTTTTGTGAAAAAATACATTTTTCAGTTCAAGGCCATATTTTAAACTCTTATTAAAGTTTTAAGAATATGAAAAATATTTTATCTAGGTGTAAATTTTTATTGAAAGGTTGAACTTAGAAAAAAGATGAATGCAGGTTAAGTGGACTCATGTGCTTAGTAAGTAGCCACAGTGGTTGGCTAATGGCTTCCTTCCTCTCAGTGTCCCATCAGACTATGCCAACTCCCCTCCTGTAAATCTTCTATACTTTAAACAGTTCCAGTCACAATATTCTTGGGTGATAGAATGTAGTAATATTTTCAAAGGTCTACAACATACAACAGGCTAATATGGCCTATGTGCCAAGTCAGGCTTATTGTATATTTTTGTAAATAAAGTTTTATGGGAACACAGCTATGTTTATCGATTTGCCTATTTTGCAGGGCTGTTTTTGCTATAGCAGCAGAGTTGTATAGCTGTAATGTTACTGTTTGGTCCTATCTTGCCCTTTATAGATGAAGTTTGCTCACCTCTGGACTGAGGTGCCTGGTTGGTACTTGAGGCATTCATTTCCCTGAGTTACTCAGTATCTTGGATTTGTATAGTGTTAGTATCAGTGGTAGATAAAGCAGGTAGACAATTCATTCAGTAGTTGGTTAATGATAAGAATCAAATTAATTAAACATCTTCTTTAGAAGAGATGGGTCAATGCAAAATAAATTCAATGTCACTTGTTGGAAAGGGAAAGAACTAGAAGGTGAGATTTTATCTTTGCTTCTTGTATTAGGGAAAGATCTGGATGATAATGAGAGGCAAGGTTAACTGGCTTTGTTTGTTTGTTTTTGTTTTTTGCATCTACTGGTTGTCTCATGTCCCGTGGAGTTGACCATGTTATGTTTTAACTGTAATAAGTCAGGGGTCACCATAAGAACGGGAGCTAGTTATTACCAAATCATATGCTCACATAACTTTGTCAGACAATTGGGACAGATCAGAGAGGGTTAACAGATAAATTAGGGATCACAATTCTCACTAATAGTGAAGTCTACTTTTAGGATTGACCCTAGAGTTCCACTAGCTAGGAGATATCTTTTTAGGGGTAGTTAAAGACACTCAGGGTTATACATGTAATTTTTGAAACTTTGAAATATCATGCATTAATTCAGATGCACTTTTAACAGAAAGTCATTTAAACTGTGTGGACAACCTCTAACTTTCCTATTCTATGATACAGCCTTTGCCTAATGAGTTTAGTAAAGGCCTCCCTTTCCAAGTTTATGCAGACTCAGTGGTTCTTACTGTTAATGATGAGAGGAACCCAAAGGAGACATGTAAATTCATAGATTCCTTCTGCAGGCAAAATGGGGGGGGAGACTGGGGAAGATGCACAGTCCTCAGGATGGTACATCCCCTTTACCTGGGGAGACAGGAACAAACGTCTAACAAGCCAAGGCAGAGAACCCGTGGAAGACCAAAGTCACAGTTCTACCCAAGTGTAAGTTGGCGACATTGTGAGTTTATCTGACTTATCTACAGGAGCATGAGTGACCCCTAAATCATTGTCCAACTATTTCTACCCTAGCATGAGTAATAACTTCCCTAAATCTGCACTTATGGAGCCCCCTTTAGTTATTTCTTTACTTCTTATAAGCTCCATCTAGCACCTCCTGAGATGAACTCACACTGGGGAAGGGTGGGGGTCAGGAATTAGGTAAGGGTCTAATGACTTTTCCTACCCTCTGCTTCTATGGTAGAGTGAGAACAGGCTCAGTCTTGTTAAAGTCTGATGGCTGATCACAGATACTCAGATTAAAATGGGAACAGCTATGCTATTACCCAGAAATCAGTGTTCTACAACACAAGAATACAGTTTAATTGGTAAAAAAGAGCAAATGACATTTTCCTTGTCTTCCTATATTTACTAAAGAAAGATGTCAAATATGTGTCCTTAATTCTCAGTACTTACCAGCTCAGAAGTGCTGAAAATGGTCCTTCAGTTCACACCTGCAAATCTGTTCTTTTATGAAGAATAAAAA